CTGTACCAGGAGACTACGAAATTCTTGCGGTGTATGATTAACAATCGCCTTCATTTTTATTACAGATTTAAATGGACCGTGTAATACAGATATACTTACACGTATTGTATTTGTCATTTTTATCTTTGCGCACAATTGCAAATTTATTTCAAACATTGCAAACTTATTGATCCCTTCACATTGCTCGTTTATTTTATTGCAAATACTATTGTGTGACGTGTTAGACGTTTTACTTTATTTAGTATTGTGGTCGAGTATTTCTTCAATTTGTAATAGGTAGGTACAACATTGTTATCTGTGTAGTTTACCTGTTGTCAATGACCGGATGATTTTGATGATTGTTGTTAACGATTATATTGAGATAGCGTTGTTTTTGTAAGCATACATATTATCGATAGTCTGTTATTAAAACAATCCCCTACGAGATTTTTATCATTTTATTATTATTCAATTTATTATATCAAGTTAACCTACAAATGAAACAAGAAAGAAAGGATGGTTGGAAATCTATGACTGCCGAATATAAATATAGGATAAAAGACCATCTTCATTTGTTCGCTTGCATTTTGAAGAGTCAAAATTTAACAGAACTTTGAATGTAACTAGATTATATGATAATGCAATTCCATCATTAGATTTGTCGGTAAATAATTTTATAGTTAATTTAGATTAAACAAGACTCATTTACTAGGCATTCTTAGTTCCTGAAAATAAAATTATCCACTCGTTTCCGATTTTGTCCCACTGACATCTCTAACTACTAGAAATTACTTTTTTCTAAAGCCAACAATACAGTGACATGTTGGCCCAACGTTGCCGAGTGAACGCCAATTATCAACGTGTTTTGCCTTGCCTTGCCATCGTTCGGTGTCACTCTCCTAGCTGACCGAGTATTCACTCGCATTCGCGAGCGCCAATGTGTATAGTGTATAGTGTATAGAGCTCGTTTTGCGTGGCTTATCGCAACTCGCAGTCCCTCGTGACCACTTGTCTCACTTCGGAGAGGTGTCTGTTTTTCTGTACAATTCGAAGGCGCTCGACCAGTAGTAGTCAATTGACATTGTATACAATTAGACATTTGCATGCTATTTAATACATTCCGAACATGTTTGTACTAACACTGTCTCTCGATACATCTTTTTTTTGTATTTATACATATTCTGTTAGACCATGTTTTAAGCAAATAAACGTATGATAACATTATTATTGATTTAATTGTTGTCGATAATATTACTGCTATTATATACGTAACTTTTATTTATTTCCAAAATAAATTGAAGTGTTAAAGATTTACTTGAACCACTCACTGATATTAATTATGTACCAATGCATAAATACCAAAAGCTTACACTATTTGAAAACCTTTTAAAAATTTCTTTCTAATATCAATCTTGAGGTTGGAAATGCATAGCGATCGTCAGATTAATATTATAAAATTTTCGCTTTTTTAATATACTCTCAAATTATATTTCTTCCTGTACAAATTCACTTTTTATAATATTTGAGCATTTATAAATGCAAAATAATAAATTCTTACATGACATTCCCGGATATTCCCATAAGAAGTAAAATATTCCCAAATAGAATATTGCATGAATGAATGAAATGAATGGAATACTCTTTATTGCACATAAAATTACAATTAAAATACAATACAATAGCTCAAGTATAATAGTAGTAGTAAGTCAATGTGCAACAGGCGGCCTTATTGCTATGTAGCAATTTCTTCCAGGCAACCTTAGGATAGACATTTCGGATATGCAAAAGGGGTGCAACCAAAGAATATCATCATAAGTACACTACATAATAGGTAATAATAAAAATGTATACATATCCATAGATAGCTATACATATACATACAAATAACAATAATATTATTAATACATACATAACAATAAATACACAATAATATTAAATGCTTATATACTTTAAAGGAAAAATAAAAATGAAGTATAAATGTAGGAAATTAATGAAAGGATAGTAGACAGACGAAATTTAGGAGTTGAGGAAGTGATCCTTGACACGTTGTTTGAAGGAATCAAGAGAAGGGGATCGTCGAATCGATTCAGGGAGAGAATTCCACAATCTGATAGCAGAAATTGTAAAAGAGTTGGAATAAAAGTTAGAGGTATGAGAGGGCAAGTTAAGTAAGAGAGTATCAGAGGAGCGAAGGGGACGACAGAGTGTAGAAGAGTGAAAAGTAAAGCGATCTTTAAGATAAGAAGGCGCAAAGGGATAGAACAGAATTGAATAGAGAAGTGAAAGGATATGAAGATCTCTACGCCGATGGATGGGCAGCCATTTAATTTGTGCGCGAAATTGGGAGACATGGTCAAATTTACGTAGTCCGAAGATGAACCTAACACACATATTTTGGAGCCGTTCCAATTTATTGAGCAGAGTCACTGACAAATCTGGGTAGCAAACATCTGCATAGTCCAGTATCGGGTGGAGAATGCTCTAGGCCAGAGTAATTTTGGGTTTAGTCGGCAAAAAGTTTTTAAGCCTTCTCAAAGAGAAATGCGCATTAAACACCTTCCTGCTCAGCAACTTGCGGCTTCCAAGTCAGACATTTATCAAAAATTACCCAAATTCCCGACTGTATCCAAATAAGGAATACAGACACCATCGAAAACCACAGGGGGTAAGGAGTCTAGATTTAAACGAGAATTGAACCAAGTGCTACCTATAATAATCGATTGTGTTTTGGATGGCTTACCTTTAAGTCCAAAGGACTGACTCCATTGACGAATGGATTCAAGGTCCACATAAATCTGGAGGTCATCAGCATGAAGATGAAAAGAAGAAGTGAGGGATTGTGTGATAGAGTTAATAAACAAAGAAAATAAGAGAGGAGAGAGGACGCCACCCTGCTGGACTCCGGCGGAAATATCGCACCACGTAGATAAAGAACTCTCTTTACGTCCACAGAGGTAGCTTCGAAACCAATCAACAACTGCTGGAGATATGTTAAGAGTACGCAATGCCTCCAATAATAGGTCAAAGTCAACACCATTGAAGGCATTACTGAAGTCAAAGAGTGTCAGCACAGCCAATTGTTGATTTTCCATACCCAAACGGATGTCATCAGTGATTTTCGAAACCAGACTGGAGAGGATTGAAAAGGTTGTTCTTGTTTAAGAAATTAGTCAACTGACAGTGAACAAGCTTTTCTAGGACTTTCGACAGGAAAGGAAGAATTGAAATAGGACGATAGTCTGAAGGGAAGCTTGGTTTGGTTTTTTTCGGTAGTGGAATGACATAAGCGTCTTTCCAGGCAAAGGGGAAAACACAGGTAGAGACAGATTTATTAAGGATATATTGATCGACTTTAATTAAACGTTTGCAAGTCGATAATGACTTTTCGATAGATTATGGTCCAACACTAAAGCCAATTTTTGTATAAGCATGTAAAAGATGCACATCTCCGATTTACTCCAACGAAATGTTAACAAGAATTGATTAACTGATTTATTCGGATAATTACTAACCGACAACGAAAGCTATCAATAGGGTTTCCCTTTTAAGTGTTTGTAGAACGCAAAAAACAATAAATTAATATTGGCATGATATCTTAACACCACACCAAATAATAGCCCTTAAAGAATGGCAAAAACTTTTGTTTAAGCTCGTCACCTTGAGGCATAAGTGGGCAAGTCTCACGTGCCTGTAATTTCACCAGCACCCAAAACCGGAACACAGTAATGCTGACATTATTGCTTGGCGGCTGAAATAGGTAAGGTAGTACTACCCTGGACGAACTCTTTCACAAGGGCTCTACTGCTACTACCTGTACCTGTTACAAACAAAAAAGCGCATTACAAGTAGTTAAACCTTATTCGAAAGGACATCCAAATGATAGGGCCAAGTAATCGACTCGGACAATAAAAAAACAATAAAAAAATCAAACATTCGTAAGGGAAACCATATCGTTGGGGTAGACATTTAATATCGATATGGAACTATCGATAGAGTTAATCAAATGAAGGAGTTTTCCGGTCCTTGCCTGTTGTACGTTAGCTAATTCTAATATATTTACATTAAAGTTAGTTATATTAATATAATTTTATATGTTATTTAAGAATAGTTCACGTAATTCATTCATTCAAGAAGGCCTAATGGACTTAAACGTCATTGGTTATTTAAATAAAGAATAAAGAAATGAGGTGGCTGTAAAAGATTTTCTTTTTTTTTTAATTAAAAATATCTTAATTTTCGCCTGTACTTTTTTGTGTACGTTTTTTGTTGGAAAGGGGGTACCTCAGTAGTGATCCCATTAAATTTTTATGAATATATTTTACCTCTAAGAGTGGAAAATTAGGGGATGCATCCGGTTTATTGATTTCAACCACGTTCCGTTAAAAGATTTCAATAAAACCTGGAAAATAGATGTAATTCCACATACTTTTGAGGTCAGTTTTTTAAAATAAAAATGTTATAATTAAAATAAGAATATATTGGCAGTGTTATAGAATATTTTTATAACACCCCATATAATGTGAATCTTCAGCCAACAATTGTTTAAACACCGCACCAAATATTACGTATTGTCACGTACTTCTCACGTGGTTTCTTCAATAACCTATACAGAATAGGTTTTCCGTGTTTCAGTTACGGGTAGTTGTTATTCTCGCGTAGTTGTACGTAATCAGTGTTCTAAAATATAATCAAGTTTTTTACCGACTTTAAAAAAGAGGAGGTCTCAATTCGACTGTATTTTTCTGTGTACCTACGTTACTTATTTATTTATTTATTTATTTAAGAAAATCAACGCAATTACTCCGAAGTTTGTAAACCAATGATTCACAATGGATCACTATTGAGATACGCTCTTGCTAAACACAAGCATTCACACAAAAAATACTGCCTCCTTTTTTTTGAAGTCGGTTAAAAATAATTTTATTTCTAATGTATATCAATCGCGAAAAACTGAGAATCCGATAATAAAATACAGCTTGAATGTAGCAGCAAATGCTTCCAATGCTATTTTTACCCCTCAGCTGGGCGACGAGCTGGGAGCGCGCTTAGCAGCACTTCAGATCTGCGCTATGCCACCCACTGCTTACACCGTTCGCACATTGACTACTGATGATAAAGAGAGCGTACTTCAGTTCCTAAGGAGGTGAGTCATTGGTGTCTACGCCAGCACATCAAGGCGATTTTCGAACAAAAATATGTAGTCTGATGTGCCGTTGTCCGTACATTAGGGATATCTGTGTATTTGTCAAAACTTATCCTCAATATTTCAAAACACGTGGTGAAATTAACCAAAGGCAGCAAAAATTATGAATCTTTTGTATCAACCTTGTTGCCATATACTATTTTATGAGGAAAACTGCTTCAACAGGTGTATAATTATTTTCAACAATTTGCCAAATGAAAATAAATTGTTGCAAGGACACACTTTTAAATTAAAATTGACAAAATGGCTTTTGACACATTGCTTCTATAGTAATAAAGAATACTAAGAATTTTCAAAAACAAATTTTACATCAATTTGAAGTGTAATTAACAGTAGAAACTGAACATGAAATTAACGTTTGTACATCTGCTTTTTCTACGTTTGTACCTACCTAATTTTATTTAAGACCTTTATCATTACTGTATTCTGGCAAATAAATGTATTCTATTCTATTCTTTTCTGTTCTATTCAAAAACACTTTGAGGCATCTTAACAGCCATAGTCAAAGCACGAAAATAATATATAGTATCTGTATAATGTAATGTGTAATCTAGTTGGCACGAAAATATACATTTATCAGCAAGTCATGCTCGTATTTTTATATTTACATACGTATGTTACAATAGTAAACCATAAAATCCAAATAAAAAATTGTAACCAAATTACACTTAAAATCGTCACATCGAGTTTATTAACTCTACTACTCATTCATAAGGCATAGGTTAAAACAGCTTTTTTGCCGTTTGCACCACCTGTGACAAAGTTATGAAAGTTTCTTCACCACTCATCAACTTTTTTTATGATAGCAAGTGCCGGGACGAACAAACCGTGCGCCTGCAGGTAAACGACACACCTATCTATAACAGTTGCAGTGCTACTCAGAGCTTTAAATCGCAAATATCTAATGATCAAAAATCAGTGTTGAAACTGCGCCTGTCACCCTGAGACATAAGTTGACAAGTCCGTTTATTCGATTTTGCATCCGGTTCTGTAGATTTCCACTTTTATTAGCTTACTTCTTGGTACCCGCGAATTTATCTACATGGAAGAAGTACTTCGAGTAGCCTACTGTATCATACAAATTTTTGTAGTTTTATTGGTTCTCCATACAAACTTTCATATTCCCTATTTCACCCTGTTTAAGATTTATTTTTGTGAAAAAAGCAGCCTGAGACCTTCTTCTAGATCTCATCTATCTCTTTACTAAAATTCTTTTTCTTTCTTTCGTTTAATTGTGAAAACGTAACAGACAGAGTCACTTTCGCATTTATAATATTAGTTCGGATTATCATCCACCACCAGATGTACATAATTCGGTTTCAAAGATTTAAGATGCGAGATGCGGGATCACAAGAGAAAATTTATTGAAAAGCTTTCTTTAAAATGCAGTTATTATTATTGCAATGGCTGTAAATATTTTACATAAACATAAAATACGCTTTCCTTTCCCAGGTTCTTTTTCATAGATGAACCCATGAATAAAGCAGTGCAGCTGCTGGAAACTCCAGACTCGCGTTGCCTGGAGCTGGAAGAGTATGCTACCTGCAGCTTGGAAGATGGCGTGTCGGTCGCGGCTGTTGATGATCATGGAGAATTTGTGGGCCTTGTCATTAACGGAATTGCTAAAAGAGAGGTCTGTACAGATTAAGTATTTATACAAATTCTGCTGTGTCGAGAACATAATGGCGTTTAATCCATCGAAACACTCTTCTCACTGTGTTTCTTAAAATAATAAACCTGGTTTTATATACACGTTTGTAACAACCGACAACCAAAGAAATACCAACTTTACATGAATATAATTGTAACTTTTTTATATAAAAAAACGACCTCAACAACCAAAAGTTCGTGGAATTACATCTATTTGCCAAGTTTTATTGGGATCGGTTACCGGAAAGTGATCCGATTCATCCCCTAGTTTGCCACCCTTAGAGATGGAATATTTTCTTCAAATTTAAACGAGACCAATGCTAAGGTAATCTCTTTCCAACAAAAAAAGAATCATCAAAATCAGTTCACAAATTTTATCTTGTTACGCGATAACTCTATATACGTATATATAGACTCGGAATTAGTAGAGGCGAAGCTGCAGAGCCTTGAACACCACCGTAGAGTTGCCAGCTTATCGATATTGTACAGGATATATCACGGAGAGCGTGTGATGGAATTGCTTAACTTGATTCTGCCTTCCCCTTTCCATCATCGGGAGACTAGACGTGGGCTGGGATTCCACCCCTCTGTTGTGGATATTCCTAGGATTCGCACGAAGCGTTTCGCTTCCACATTTGTATGGCGAGAGGCTAGAGGGTGGAATTCCCTGCCTGCAGACTAGTTCCCCGAACGCTACAACTTGGACCTTTTCAAGGCGAGAGTGAAGAGGCATTATTTAGGTGTGCATGCTACTTCCTCGACCTCATCGCCACTTTCTATTAGGTGAGATGGGGGTCAAATGCGCATTAATTTTTTTTATAAAAAAATGTTATTTCGTAACATACATACAAAAATAATACAATCGAATAGAGAACCTCCTCCTTTTTTTGAAGTCGGTTAAAAATACAAAAGGTACCTGAGAATGTTTTAGAGGGTTCGTCTGTTTTTGTTACGTCTGATAATATTTTTGTACTGCACGTCGAGGACGGTGCACATTTGCACTAACATCGGAAAACACATGGAAAGTGCCCACTGGACCAACGTCACGTACTATGGCCTTATAGGAGACCCATGTCCAGCAGTGGGACGTATAATAGATTGATGATAGGTGCAGAACAGACAGTAGTCTGAGTATAATTAGTAGTATTTGTTATTTATGACGTGGAAAATTAACTTCAAATTCCCGTTAAGTTCAAATGATTCAAGTTCAAAAAGTAATTTCAGTACATCATACTCGTATCTCACCTAAAGTTAACCAGTCAACGCAGTATGGTGCATGCCGTCACAGAAATCCAAATATATGGCCACTTATTCAGATTTCTGTGATGCCGTCGATACAATAAAAAGAAGAACGAGTCAAAGATTCAATTATAAAAATCACGAACTAGAACATTGTTCATTTAGCACTTTTATTAGCGCAATGTGAATTATTGTGCGTCGGCGCATTGCCAGCGCAAAACTTCCGCGCACTGCGCAGGTGTTGATTCTCGTTTTGGATTTCAATTAGCCGATAGCGAAATAATTAGCTCGGCCAACAAAGAGCTTGGAACGCGTGTACTGAATAAATAAATGATTATTTTGAAATCGATCGTATGAATTTATATAGATGACGATCATAATCTACTTCACACGTTACAAAATAAGAAGGAGAACTGTCAATTTGAACCTAGTGCAAATCGTGTAAAGTACAATTTTGTACAAATAACTTACAGATATGTCCATCAGTTACCACTAAAATCTATCGTAATGAAAGTTATTGAAAATAATTATGTCTCGAGTTCTTAGGTTTTCGCGATTGTTACACATAGGAAATGAAACTATTTTTCCGGATTGAAATCGCGTATATTTTTGAAGTCGCTTAAAAATAGAGATACTAGTTACATCGAAACAGATTATTTATTTAAACATTTTTTTTTATAAAATCAAGTGGCAGGATGAATTAGTCGTGCGCCTGGTGGTAAACGACACGTCTACCCATAACAGTTGCAGTGCCACTTAGAGCTTTAAATTGCAAAGATCTTAGTTGCACTACTACTGCGCTCGTCACCCTGACACATAAAGTTGATGTCCCATGCGCCAGCAATTTTACCAGCACCCCTTCAAAACCGAAACGCAGTAATGCTCACATATCGGCTTGGCGACAGAAAAATGTACGGTTGTAATATCCCAAAACATATTTCTTATTGATAAATATTTCGTGTAGCTCACAAGTCAATACAAAATTTGAGCAATCAAAATAGAAAGTAATATATAAGCCCATTGTAACTTCAATTTTCGATAATAACCCGTAATATCTGTAGTACAGTTTGAAGAGGGTTTATCTTTTCAATTTCCCTTAGGCGATGTCTTTGACGGAAAATCAATAAACCCCCAATAAAGGAGATAAAAGTTTCTTTGAGGAGAAATACGATGACAAGGTTACTGCGCGGCCCTGAACAGGAATTTATCTTCCTTGAAAACTAAGGGGAAAAAAAAATATATCTAATTCATAAAACTGTAAGTAGGTATCAACTTATACTGGTGTTCCAAACATATGCGGTGGATTGAGAAGTTCACATTCTGTTATGATTTATGATAACAATGTGTGATCTTAAAGGCAGCCGAGAGTAAGCTATCTGCAGGATTCCTCGAAACAAAATTAATCAATGGACGATATGAATCAGCTCAAGGCTTCAGGACCGAAGGTTCACGCTCTATCGCGCGATTCGCATGACTGCCTTCAGCGCGGTAATGGCATAAAAGAAGAAAAAACAAATCAGACATTAGATAGGCTAATTATCGACGACTAGCCTATTTACCGTGATTTTGTTCCAATGAGGTACATCATCGTCAACCCGTCATACCGACGACGCTGATGTACCTGTCGCGACTTCATTACGCCCCGATATCTCAGGAGATGTGGAGTACATCAGGCTAAGGATCGAGCGGTTGGAGTCCCGCCACAACGTGAATTTTAATTCGTTTGTGGTGAGAGTATCGCCTGAACATCTGTCGACCTTCATGACGGAGGAGTTTTGGCCGAAGGGTGTTGTATATCGGCGATTCCGCGGCCGGTTACCTGATACCAGATTGCAACACACGTCGCTGACAAAGAGCAATTCGTGTAGATTAGTTATTTCGTTTGTTATATTGTTATATTATATTGTATGTATGTCAGTCGTTAAGGTATATGTTATATGGGTCATGTAGCCTGAATTACATGACTAAATAAATAGATAAAATTTAAAGGAGATCATAGAGATTTAGGTTGTACTGGCCCAAAACAATATGTGGCCATCTCACGTTTGCCAAGGATTATGAAATGTCTTTGACGTGTCATCACGATGTTTTTATTCACCGTTAGCTGGAGGTGTTTCTACTTAACATTCCCAAATGTACAAGATAAATAATATAAATATCTTGCACAAAAATACATGCGCATAATACTTAATACAATTCAGCTCTGTCAAAAGACTCAAAAATCCCCAAAAAGACTCCATGTGTGCTCTTTTAGCTAAGAGTTAGGCTCAATTTATATTGCTGCGGAACAGAATGGAAGCGAATTTTTGTAACGATATTGTATGTAGTATAATGAACTTTATGGTCAATTGTGTAACGTACAAACTAGATACAAACCAAAAATCACTTCGCGTGTCTTCGGCGGAATTCTAGCGAATGCTCGAGGATGCTCGCACATTCGCGAGAGTTTCGCAGCTGACGTCCGAGGCGCCTGGCGAATCCGTGGGAAGTGGCCCAAAGGCAGACGCAGTGTGTCGGCAAATGTCGACGAAATACTATAGCTTCAAGGCGCAGTAGCGAGAAAGTCCGCAAATTCGGGAGAATGCTCGAGCTTTTAGCGGACTTTCTTTCGGAATCCAGCGATGCGATATTGACGCTTCCATTCCATTCCGTTCCGCCGCAATGTAAATTCAGCCTTAACCAGCTTTGTTACGGTGGTTTGTTTTAAGGGCTATCGTGTGTTCATGTGAGCTTCAAATCTGTTTAGCAAATCATTAATTTAATTTTCCAGAGATTTAACACTTTCTAATTCTTTACTAATAATTTTTTTTTGTCTTTACCAACAGGAAGTAGACTACACAGACAAATCAGAAGACTGCCCGCACCCTAAGTTTCGTCGCATCCTCAAAGTGCTGGGGCACCTGGACCGGGAAGTAAGAATATGGGACAAACTGCCGAAGACCTGCAATCGAGTTGTGGAAATTAGAATCGCGTCCACTCATGACGCATGGAGAGGCCGAGGACTGATGCGTGTGCTTTGTGAGGAAACTGAGTAAGTATCTTGTTATTATCAAAATAACCATATGAGCAAAATGACAATTGCCAACATCATTTTGATTAAGCACTAATTTTTTTTTAGACAGACAGACAAACGCGTACCGTCGTCATTCAGGGCAGGGAAGATTGTGGCCAAGCGTGTGTCTATCATACATACATATATGAGAATCTGTGATTTAAAGCTCTGAGTGGCACTGCAATAATTGTAACAGGCGTGTCGCTTACCATCTGACGCACGGCTTGTCTGCCCCGCCACTCGGTATCATAAAAAAAATTACTAGATATAATAATCACTCAATCGCTTTACAAATTATTTAACAATGTAAAGAAGTAATTATCACAGAATAATTTGCAGGTACATGTAAAACAAGAATAACAAAAGTTATTCTTAAAAGTTATTCGCGTTACAAAAGTTACCAGTTGTATTTTGTTCATGTTCTAAACAATAAAATAATCACCGTGCAAGAAATGACAACTGTGTCGTACTTAAAATTTAATTCAATTCGTTACCAACATAACGATAAAATTTTTATTTAAAAGAAAACCGACGTCAAAAGTTTACTTATCCGTTTTATTTTCATTGGAAGCACATTGTATGTGCCAAGTTCTATTGAAATCGAGTAACGGAACGAGGCTGAAATTCAATGAATCAGGTTCGTAAAATAAAGAATCATCGACTTCGGTTCACAAATGTCGGAGTAATCGCATAACATACACAACACTCTACTATTTGTTATAACACGAGTAAGCGAAGGGTGCTAAGATTGAGTTGTGGTTCAAAAATTGAATCCTGAGCGTAGCGATGGTTTCAAAGCACGAGACGCAAAACAACTTTGCTGCCGAGCGAAACA